ATACCTTAACCCATGTGTAGTAACGTGAAACATCAATGAGCCTCACTGTGACCGCCGGGTTGACAACCACACAACAGTCTTGATATTTGTTTACTAACTGCTCGTAGACACTCGTTCTTAGCTTAACGAAGACCCTATAGGCTCCATTAAGCACCACTCCATAAAGTTCTTCATCAGCTACACCATAAGTCTCCCTGATGATTGCTGGTAGAATAACAGAAGCTGTTTGGGTCGTCACAGCCCCACGCACCAGCTGTATACAGTGTTGATCCACCTTCGTATTTGCTCCGCCATATTGAGAAAATCTCAGCTTGTCCCAACGGCCAGCAGAGGGCAGTGTAACACACGTCCGCTCACTACAGAGGTCGAGCGATGAATGGACTCTCAAGTTATGGAACGAAGAAAACTACAAAAAATCCGAGACCTATTAGTAAAATGCTATTGATAACTTCCAAAACCTCGCAGGTTAACTGCTCTAATACTACCTCAGGTAAGCTATTACTGCTAGTTCTCACTAACACTAAGAGCGTACCAAGACTTTCTTAATTATTACATTCACATGAAAGCACTAAACCCGTAGGGATCATGAAGGCCTGGGGGAATGGAACTGGCGCAGGGGCGCCACTAGCATGATAAGAGAACAGAATAGTGTGAGGGGCCCCAGACTGTTCAACTGCCTCCCAGCATACATAAGGGGGATTACCAATTATGGAAAATTTTCTAGGGGTGATTACCTGTATGTACCTCAACATTACATGCTTACAAGTAAACTCATTGCGAGACAACCATATTGTTTACCATAGTCACCCCGTGTAGACATGTGAGAAAACTTAACCACCCCTGGTCACGGCAAGTGGTTCCTTCGACCTCACAATCTTATCCATATCTATGGATTGGATAGCACCCACAAGTACGGTGCTACTAATTAATTGTGGACTGTATAGATTATATTAGTTTAACTGAATGAAGGGGGGTGGGGTAGGTTACACATGGATATATCCATCAAGGAAAACACTTGTACATAATCTCACCACTTACCAGATATTCTCTGTGTGGTCACTTGATGTAGCTGGATCACTCATAACCTATCCAGTTACAACATACCTAACTGGCCAGTATCAGTCTGCTATAACTAGAAGGGTTACTTAACTGTGGGTGATTGATGCTCCTTATTTCCTCCATTCACCATCTCATTTCGATGTCCTGCTACACTGACACGGTTCTCATTCCAGCAGGACGAGGTATCCATTGGTTTGTCCCGGTTTAGAAGTCCTGACTCAATGAACTTCACTTTCCTCGTCACGGGAGAGGTCTAACGTGTTCACTCGGAGCAAGGCGACTTATTTCACTTCACGCATTCTCTTAACTTAGCGTTATCATTAATTACATTACAATTCACAAGACAATTTAATGTCTCAATTATTATACACATTAGAGATCACTCCATTAAGATCTGAGACCGATGAGTGATGATTAAACCAAGGGTAATTTTCCCCGGGACACAGTCCATGGTGACGCGCCAGTCACCCGGTCCTACCCTTATTCACTCATTTTACCACTATTACGGTGGTCCCATAAATCACGTTCCCTCACTCTCCACCAGGAACAGTTACGACACTTCCTATTATGAAATGAGGCCTATATTAATCCTTAGGCCGCCGTGAACGCCAATTTCGTGGTTCCATGCTTTCCCAGCCTCCTCACTACCTTCAAAACACTCCCGCCTCTCCCATGCCCCGAGTCGACCTCTACCTCTGCACATCCGCGCATGCGCAAAGGGAACTCTTGGTTCTGTCCTATTGTCAAATACATTTTTGACTCATATCGACACATTAAACACCTATTAGGCGCTATAGCTTCGGAAAATCAAAAAAATTTCCACACCAATAGACCCCTGGCTGTCTTCAAGAAGGCACTGGACAGGCACCTAAACTCAGTACCTGTCCAGCCGGGCTGTGGTTCGTAAGTCGGGTTGCATGCGACCAACAGTAACAGCCTGATTGATCAAGCTGCTACTGAAAACAGATTAATGTGAATGGCATTCGCTAAAAGATGTGCACAAAATAAAATGATTGCTACGTTTTAGATTTATTCTCAGTAAAACTATTTCTAGCTGTAAGTTACTTAAATTTCAGTTATATTTTTTTTTCTACAAATCGGTTATTGGTTCATACTCTTCGTATGAGTCGGCTTGCTTTTTTATCACTGGGTTGCAATGCACCACTTTAATCATGAAATGCGCCATAGGTTGGCCATCCCTGGTCTAAACTGCTATCCTATCTCAGTTCATTTCTAAGACAATTTTTAAGTATACTACCATCTCCGAAGTGACTAAGTCTGCCAACACCCAAGTACCTGCATACTGTGGGTGAAGTTTTGTCCACATATCTCAACTTGCTCAAGAACTGAATTAAGGTTTTTTGAGCTGAAGGTGCTACCACTAAAACTTAGAATTATTTAAGCTAGGTATTAGTAAGAAACGCAAGCAATGTGATTTATTTCCATTGGGAATCCGTATTAGGTTTTATTCTCGAGGATGCAGTCCACACTACTAACGGATGGGAACCTGTTTATTGTTCGGTGAAGAACTGCAGGCTCGTGAAGACTAGTTCATACATCTCCACTAGTCTAACAATCGCACCCCCCCCTCCCCTTTCTTGTCTAATAAGCCACAAAATACAATGTGCCAACCCCGATGAAGGTGTGGAAATTTATTTGGTCCCTAAAGTTCCACAGGACAGATCCAGCATGGCCGTACGGGACGGCTGAGCTGGATGGCCCTTATACCCCACCCAAACATGAAAGCATTCTCTTTGGTCGGCGATGGATTCTTGGTAGGCATGTATTTAATTTATAGATTTATTCTTCAGGGAAGGAGTAGGTAGTTTTACTGTTAGTATATTAATATTAGGTTACTAAGGCAACTGTAGATAATAATAATGCAGACCTAAGACCTTAACATAGGTAGCAATAGGCCGATAATGTAGGCAAACACTAGGATAAGTTAGCTAGGGAGAACTGGCAGCCCTAGCTTGAATGACGAGGTGCGGGTCAAAAAGACAGAATAGCGTCTTGCTTAAGACAGACACCACCTGGACAACAGGTGCCGTGATCAGCAGACGGCGCCCCCATGTGTCTTCACATCTGAGACCTGGGGAAATCTGGTAGAGGCACCTTGATGTACCGTAGATGACCTCCTCCGTCAGGCCTATACAGTAAGACAAGACCTCCACCTTTATCTCGTAGATTTCTGGCCAGTGTCTTGGGAGATTGTGAGTGAGTGAGTTTACTGTGGGCCCGGTTGCAACAGGCGATGCATGCCCAGAATTAAGGCTCCCGGTTGCACGTGGTTTCTGAGGGAAAGTCCAAAGGGGCTAAGGCTAAGCTTAGAGAAGTGAAGATCAGGATATATGCTGCAACACCAAGTTAGTTAGTCCTTTATACGTGCATGCAGGCGAGGTTTTCTTGTAACATCAATCATTTGTGAAAATCTGTCCTATAAGCCACTTGTGAGGCTGAGGTACCGACCTCAGAGCTCGGTGTCAACAGAGTATGCTAGGGTAGGCGACTCACTTGGAGGCAGTCCACACAAATTTTCACAGAAGGTAAAAAAAAATCTTCCTAGTTCTGAGAACACTACATAAACACTAAGATCCGACTTTCATCTTGTGAAACTCGACCCATCTTCTCTCTTCACATGACCTCCCACACCAGATAACCCCACCCCAACAAAAATCCACACCCCATACAATCTCCCATACTGGGGCGGCTCCTGATCTTATATATAGGAAAGGATTAGGGGTGGCAATCTGGTTGGAAGAGGGGACTATGGGACTTGTTTCCAAGCAGCATTTTTAAAATTAGTATTTTTATTTGGAGGGCTTTGTGGGGGTTCAACCCCCTTTACCCCTCCCTTGCGCTACCTCTGCTCCCACACCCATCTACCTCCTACCCCGCTACCCCTAACAGTTCCCCCATCCAATCTCCCACTTCAACATCCCTCCCTGTATTATTATTATCAAAAAGAAGCGCTAAGCCACAAGGGCTATACAGCGATCCCTCCCTGTAGAAACTCGATGTACAGAAAAGGACCAAATCAAAAGCATGTCCTTCAGAGATGAGCATAAGGCGCGACCACTTAAGCCACGATATCCTTATTGTTCAGCTCGGCCGGACGGACTTCATTAAATAATGTACGCAATGAAGAAAACTTTACTCTGATTAACTCAAGACCTTAATTAAACTATGATGGAAAAAGGAAGCAATCATGCTAACATGCATTCTTTCAAGGTTGTTATGTTCACCCATCAGTAAAATGGGTACCTGGGTGTTAGTCGCCTGGTGTGGGTCGCATCCTGGGGACAAAACTGACCTAATTTGCCCGAAATGCTCTGCACAACAAGGGGCTTCCTATAAAGTAGTATGTCATTGATGTCAGCTAGGCCTGTATACCTTGTACATGTACTTGTAAAAATAAACATATTATTAAACGAGTGACCTGAAGTGTCATCACTTATTTTGAAAGTTTTAGTTATCCATCCTAGCATTTTTCCATTCAGTTGCAATAAGAAGTGTTGCGTTCCTTTTAGCACGAGACCTGACTATCAATCCCAGGGCTTCTCATATTAGACTTGTGCTCTGTTGAGTTTGTCTTGTACTCCGAGCCTGTTTTTATTTCCTTAATATTTCCGTAACATAGGAATTGAAATTTGTCCTCACTGAGCATCATACTATTGTCAGTAACCACTGAACGACCTGAAATATCCGCTCGGAGACTTGCGAACTTGACGCTTCTCCATGAATAATATACATACGAAATTTTAATACGAGCATTTCATTACATAATTGCATTCACGGGGAGCGCTAAATCCGTAGGGGTCAATCAAGTTCGATATAAGTAAAATTCCTTGGATCAAGACCCCAACACTTAATCGAGAGGCACCTCTCTTGATGATTGATTTATTACACTGCTAGTACACACTAATACTCTTCCAGCTTACCTTGAGATCCCAGGACCACCGCCTTCACTGCTATTGTCTTCATGATTTCCCAGCACTTTAAAGTTGGAAAAAACACTAGTAGGGAAGACCTGTGTCCTTTTCTGGTTTGTATAATCCACTTTACTGCTTATATGGTATTAATTCCTTCGACGACATTGTATTAGTCTTTAACTTGTTTTGTAATAGCTCAAGTCCTGGTGATTGTAGCTGCTGATTTAAATTATGGTCATAACTGGCAGTCCAAGCCAGAGAGACCAACAACATACCTACAGCCACATATCCAGCTGACTGTGGCATTCTGGGGCTCTGGGCCTCACTCACCCTCCATCCCCTACCAACTGTTACTCACAGGGTATATACACACCGTCGATGTATATATCTTAGAATTTACCTTACCCATTATTTTAGGTATTAAAATATTTTTTGTGTACATATAATTTTCAGAATTAATGAATTAAGTACAGTCCAAGGACTTTAAACCTAACACAGTTGCCAACTGTGTGTGTGGTTGTTGCTCCCTGACGCAGTAGTATTGAGTCAACCTTGAAAAATGGCATATAGTTCAAGCTACCCACACAACGTGGTTGTATAAATATTAATGAATATATATATATAAACTATATGACATCTGCTACAGGCATCATCATCATCTTGTGGTGCATTTTTCCTTATTTTAAAAAATTAATGTTTTTGTATTAAGCTTTGACGAGAACTGTACATAATGTGGGAGTAACAAAAATATAATTTAATTGTACATCATTATTAGGTCGCATACCTTATAACAAACTTCCTATAACTATTTACTTACTATATTAGTTGCACATTTCTTTTTTGTACAAATGCCTGCATCACAAATGCCTGGTCATAGACAGGGCCGCGGGGGCGTTGACCCCCGGAACTCTCTCCAGGTAAACACAATATTATTATAGTATACAAAATTTACTAGTAATAATGTAACAATTATTTCCAACAAAACTTAATGGTCTACTTATGTGAAACTGATAAGATATCGTCTCATGAACCAGAGTAAATATTTATGCGTTCGCCAGACACAAATTTATTACAGAAAGATAAGTAATTTGTGTTCAGAGATGAATATTTTTACTTCATGTGATATTAGCATTCACATGTGTATTATAATATGCAGATTTAACCTAGGATAACCAAATTAATTCAATATTTATTTTCCTTGAGATATATGGACAAGTCTTCTTGACACCTGTTACCCATGTTCACCTATCAATAAATAGGTTCATGGGTGTCAGTGGGCTGTCTATCACTGTGCTCCTACCAGTAAGACATTATATCCACAGATGTCTGACTGCCAACACCACTTAACTCTAAAGAGTCGCGCGGGGTAATTCACATTAGATGACTGAGAGCCCTTTATAAACTATACGTATCGAAAGGTGTCTCTGTGTATACAGTTTACTTTAATCATTATTTTAGCGATGAAAATATGATTGATAGGTAGTGAAAAAGGTTACGCGGTCTTAATATTTACTATTCTTAGGTAAGTTGCAACTTTATAAATTACAAGCTCATTTTCTAAGTCTGCTCGAATTGCCAAGCCATGCTAGGTGTCCTAGTGGCCCCCTCTGTAATTAGCATTTTATAACATGTAAACCACACAATACCCAAAACCTGTAAACCCCACATTGTAACCCTTATAGAGAATAAACTTGAATTGAATTGAATTGAATTTACTTTTGATCTTTTAAACATTATTAAATAAATTAATACTAATTCAAAAGGTTTATGGATAATTATTTTACACATAACATGTTGTCTATTCATAATTTAAATGTGTAACAATTTTTCGTCTATATTACTGCTTTAAATTTAAATGGGCTTCGGCATACAGCGCCTACTTTGATTAAGAAATATAAAGCTGTGATTAATTTTGAATTTATATACTGTACGACATGTTTCACAATACATTATAGTCACTGGTAATTAAGTGGTAGACAGTGATTCACTGGTCGCTGAGAAAGCATTTACAATACGTTAATTGAGAATGAACCTATTTCAGAATTAACCCATTTCTAAGGAAATTATATAATTTTTAAATAAATAATTCCTTGAAGGGAAGTGCCCAGATGTTGTTGAGAGGCTCTTAATCCAAGGAATTTAAGTTACCTTCCTCTTGTGGCTCAAATCTCATTGCTACCCATTTCCTCTAGGAGCTGTTCGACGCCTTCGGGTTTAACGCTTAATTTAATATTATTAGTGTATGACCTCTGCGATTTTGGCGCTTCCATATGAATATACTGTAATAACAATAGAGATTCGTCCTATTTCAACTCGGATGATCCAGGTAATATTCTTCAGCCTCAGAAAAGCTTTCACTCGAGGAAATTCTGCAGGAGACCCTTAATGTTCCTCAGCTTAACTTCCATCTGAGGGTAGCTGGCCTCAAGCTGCGTCACCACGCCTGTATATGCTTGTGCTCGCATCACCAGCCTCGACCTGAGTGCCTGCTGCGCCTCCTCCCCGGCAGCTGCCAGTGTCTTGTACCGTCCATCTCGCAGTGCCGTCAGGTGTCGTAGTCGAGCACGCCATTCCTGAAGACGCAGCTGTTCCTGTAGACCAGATTTATGTGAGGGCATCTAGTTTTTTTTTTTTTAATAAATAAGATACTACACGCTGTGTGGCTACCCTGATCTATACTATTTTATAATTTTAGAACAAGAAATACCTATATTTACCTAACATCCATCACACAGGGTGGGTTTTCTGTTAAAAGCGTGTTGTTGTACCGAGTGGACGGAGGATCGAGCATCCACCACGCCTTGTGTTGAACGACTTATACGAGTTCAGTGAGTCACGTCAATAGATAAATCCTCTAGGCCAGAACTGTGAGGTGTAACAGACATCACAAAGGTCATTAGGTCAAGGTGGAAGTGATTACAAGTGTGTGAAGCGGACTAGAGGCTCTTGAAGTGTGCTCAGACGATAACGAGTAGCTGAGAGGGAGATGGCGGTCTCCAACACCCACCATCTCCACAACCTGCCAACACCTTCACATGGAGAGATTATTATTATTATTGTCACAAAATGTGGGGCGAACAAACAGATATACAAAAGCGAGTATTCTCTCACCTCTTGCTTCTTGACTAGTCTCTCCTCCAGGTGGGTGGCGGCGTGCTGCAGGAGGCGGACCTTGTGCCCGTAGATTCTCTCCTTGTGCTGACCTTCCTCCTCTAGGCGCGCCTGCTCTTCCCTAGCTGCTTCTGTCCCCACTTGCACCTCCTGCAGCTTCTTCAAGAATGTGATACACCATTACCTCACTCAGCCTTTACAAGAACATAATAATAATAGTCTTGTGTATATCACCAATTAAAAATATAATGCTTTATCACAAATTAAAAGTATAATGCTTTAAAGAATTTGTCTCACGACCAAAGTAATTATGAAACCACATAAAGGAAATTGCGCAGTTTTATTAGTAGAGAGGATTATAGAATACATAAATTGCTTCACATCTTAAAAATTTTATTATAAGAAATCTGAGGGTGTTTGTGATGTCCTGATGACCATCATTAATAAAACAAATAGAAAATTAATTGGCTTTCATGGAATTTGAAGTTGGAAAACTATACATTTGCTTCTACAGCCTGGACATTATTTATATTTTCTTGGGGAAGCTTAACCTGCAAAGACCATATAGCTAACAGATGGGAGGTAATTAGGTTGAATCCAAGGAAGGATAGCTCCAATTCCTTGGATGAAGACCCCTTCACCATCAAGGCATAATCCTTAAAGGAGCCAGAACTGACCTTTCTGGCCTTCGCGATTTTCCTCTTGAGGATGTCTTCATGCATGAGTCTAGTAGCTTTGGCAGAGTTGGGATCACGTCGTAACTTCTCCACGGTGGCCAGAGTGCGGGTCTTGAGAGCTCCCTCCACGTTCACACTCTGCTCCAACTGCCCTGATAGCTCTTTCTGCGTCGCCTCCAGTGTGCGCCACCGAGCCTAGTGTGACACACCAACCCTCTAGATATAAGCTTTCACCCAGTTGTTACTTCTAATAAACTATCGAGATTAAGACCCTTAACAAAATAAGATTCATATAACTTCGAATTTCGATCCAAGGTATGAAAAACTATCACGAGGGATTTTACGTACAGCTTACATTAGTGATTCGTTAGATAATTTGAACAAAAAGTGTAATAAGTACTGATTAGTGATTCAAACAAACCTACAATTTGCCGAAGAGGGCCTCAGTGTGAGGCAGAAACATACTATGTTCATCCTCTGTTTTGGCTCCATGTGGGTTCGTTTGTCCCAGAAATTCTAAAGTTATATGAATGGAGGGTAAGAAGCCAAGCACCGCTGAGTTATTCGGCTATGCTGCGAGAACAAAGAAGACTGGAGTAGAACTCGAAGCGATTCGATGAGGTGTTCTAGAGTTATGAGAAATAAAATGAAAAAGTTGGAGGAAGATTATAATCATGGGGGAGCGCTAAACCCACAGGGATTATACAGCGCCTGTTGGGGGGAGGGGTAGGCTGGAAGGTTTTCAGACTCAGTTCAGGGAACCGGAGCACAGATCCAATTCCCTAGATCAAGAAGAGGCCCTCAAGTTGGATGAACAAAAAGAAAAAAAAATCAGACAACCTCTTAAAGGTACCCCTTGGGGATATCCCAGTAATAATAATAATAATAATAATAATAATAATAGTCTTAACCTGCATGCGGGTGATCTCGGTCTTCATAGCATGGAGATCTCCCTCGACTCCAGTTTCCTTCCTGAGGGAGTCCCTAGCATCACGCAGCTCCACCAGATGTTTCTCCAGCTGAGCCCTCTCCTGCGTCGCCTCCAGTACTTGCCCCTCCACTTCCTCCCTCTTCTCTCTCAGTCGTTCCACTTCACCTTCTTTTTTCGCCACCTCCTCTTCCAGCTCCTGGCCATAAATTGCACTGGGTTAGATTTAAATGCATAGCACACATCTCAATGCGATTTTTTACTGGTAATATTAATTTGCATAGAGCTTCCAACTTTGAATTTTTAGCACCTCTTACAAGAATTCGGTAGCATGACTCTTTATTAGACGGCGGATGGAGCCTCTACCACTTCTTGCACTCACAGTTCCTTCAGTTTCACATTAATTAAATAGCAAGTAAGGCCATAAGGCCCCTTCATGAGAGGTGGCCGGTGCAGTAAAAAAAAAAATACAATTGAAACAAAAGCAAAAGTGAGTAATATGGAATACAAATGTTAAGAGGCAATATGGTTACTGTATAAGCTATAAACCTAACAAACTCACTAAATGAGCACCTGTAGGTTAGCAAGAAGTCTAGTTTCAGCGGCGTGGGCCTCACGGGAGGCCTCTTCTCTCGCCTGGTTCTCGAAGTGGAGTCTGGTGTCTAATGTGGTTACTGCTCTATGCAGCCGCTCCTGCCGCAGCTGTGCCTCCCTGAAGGCGCCACGCTGGTGCTCCACCTCACCCTCCAGTCGTGTCTGCCGTCCCCGCAACACATTTAGTTCTGATAACATTGAAAAAGGAGCACTTCAGTAGGCCCATTCCAGGTAGATAAAACTGACACTCGACCATTTCCTTTCATTTATCTGTCCAACTCAACCTTTAAACCTACTCAAAATATCTGCTTCAGTGACAACCCAGCCGTCTGACTCATGCAATAACTAGATAATACCTTTTCTGGTCGACTTTCAAGTCTTCGATGCTGGTGTAGGTGCCAATTAATCAATTTTATTGAATTATTATTATTATTATAATCAAAAAGAAGCGCTAAGCCACAAGGGCTACACAAGGGCTTCCTGCAGAGCAGGAAGGAATCGAGGGCATCAGGTGGCAAAAGGGAGGTGGATGAGTAATAGGTTACGGATAACAGCGGAGCAGTGGATGGTGAAAGGGTAAAGGGCAGCAAGAGACTGAGCTAGAAAGGGCTGAGGGGAGTGCGTAAGGTATCATCATCAGAGTTTGTGGAGTAAATCAGTCGTTGTCAAGAAGTCAATGAGATAAAGGGAAATTTAAACATTGGCTTTCATGTGATAATTTGTGCAGGCCTCATCTGATCGGCTTCTAGCCTTAACGACGATAACATTGGTCTCCAAATTTTGAGTATTTTTGGGCTTCGAAAAAAAAAAAGCGTTTCACTTTAAGGTTTTTAAGGTGCTGAAAACAAATAGGACCATAGTAACAACCGTGTAGATACTTATTTTCCATTTTTATTGGATAAATTATGATAGTTGTCATGCGATAACCTGTGAATGCCTTTACTGATTAGTTTCAGATCTTCAATGTTTATATTTAACTGCATTAGAAACTTATGTCGTACTTTGTACTATTTCTTTTGCACGTATTGCGGTAGCGTGAGCTGGGTTTCTGGGATACAGGAATACCTTTCTTGGATAGTGCAGCCACCACAGCACATCTGAGTAATGTTTAACAGGATTGCTGCAATATTAGAGAAAGACCTTGCTGTAGTCTGGTTAGTATTGTTGGTGAGGGCCTCCCTGGCGTCCCTGGTCTCCAGCAGATGGTGCTGCACGGTAAGAGCCTCCTCCTCCAGTGTTTTTCTCTCCTTCTCACGCTCTGCCAGTAGGAGTCGCAGGCGTCGCTCCTCGCGTTCTGCAGGAGGTGCCTCGCTACCCTTCAGAATTAAATAAACTCAGTTTTGGTGCAAATTTAAAAAAAAAAATCTAGAAAACAATTACCTAAATTAAGTTGATTATTTAGCTTTGAAAAAATGGAATCAAGACAAGCAAATATATGATAAATGTTAAAGACTCACCCCAGCGAGGTCCAGCACCTTGGCCAGCTCCTTGTTAAGCCTGTCGATGCAGCACTGGTTGGTGCTGATCTTCTCTTGCCCCTTCCTCAGATCTCCCTCATACCTGCGACACTCACAGAAATATTATATTAATCTACTTTCAAGAAACACTGTGTATAATGCAAACACTGGGTAGTTGTAGAAAATACTGTATATATTTTCCAGAAATACGGTAATTTATAGGTAAATAGATGGCCTATACTGTAATAATATTTGTCATAGAAAACGGAAAGCCTGCGTCTGGGCAGGAGACTCGCCATCTTGGTTTTGAATTTTGTACAAACGTTGGTGTAATGGGAAGAATTTTTCGTGCTCTAGAGGTTAAAATTGTGTTGACACCTCTCAAATAGGAGGCGAAATTGGTGGATGTGCATTCCTGCATAACTTGAGATATCAGACGACTGGACAAGACAGCTCCAGGAACCTCAGATAAGCTCTCTAGATTTGTGTGTAATTCTGGCCAGCATTATTTTCATAGATTTAGTTAGAGTGAGGTTTTCTGAGTATGATACACAATCTCCAGTCAAATTGGTGAGTGATATTAAGATACATTTTCCTTCTGTTATGTAATTGTGTATACATATATTTTTTTTTTCAACAAGTCGGCCGTCTCCCACCGAGGCAGGGTGACCCAAAAAAGAAAGAAAATTCCCAAAAAGAAAATACTTTCATCATCATTCAACACCTTCACCACACTCACACATTATCACTGTTTTTGCAGAGGTGCTCAGAATACAACAGTTTAGAAGCATACACATATAAAGATACACAACATACCCCTCCAAACTGCCAATATCCCAAACCCCTCCTTTAAAGTGCAGGCATTGTACTTCCCATTTCCAGGACTCAAGTCCGACTATATGAAAATAACCGGTTTCCCTGAATCCCTTCACTAAATATTACCCTGCTCACACTCCAACAGATCGTCAGGTCCCAAGTACCATTCGTCTCCATTCACTCCTAACACGCTCACACACGCTTGCTGGAATATACAGTCCACAAATTTATATATTTACCAGTATTCCTGGTGTATGTATATTTCATTTAATTAATAGGTCCAGAGCAACTTGTGGTTATGACAGTGGGAGGTATCGAAGGGGGACATTTTTTGCGACCTAGGTGTCCCAAATTCCTACTTGTCTATGTAACATTGATAAATAATAATTATCTTTGTTATCATTTACTGTTATGTACATAATTAGTTACATTCAGATAAATGCAATTTTCCACAGTAGTCACGCTTTTCCATTCAGGGCCTTTTTTTTTTTTTTAACTTTTTTTAAATTCGCTAATCTACTGATACCATATTAATACTACAGTAGCTTGTGTATACTAAAGGTATATATCTGTGTATTTGAGCTCAGTGTTAAATCCCCATTTGAATGATTAAAATAAGTTTTGTCATTAGTGCAAATGTAAATCACTGCTTTAATGACCCACGTGCAGTCAATAGATATTAAATTCAAACTAAAGTAGCCATCATTATAACAAGTACCCGTTAGTTACCATTTTGTCCTAGGTACATGTCGATTAGACACCGTCAAGGGTATGCCTTGATTCTGGCGAAGATACATCAGCAGTGTGCTGCCTTACGCAGCTATTGAATATCTCCTGCACAAGCCTAGTCATTGATTAACTTGCCTATATGCAGGGTACACCTTGCGACGTACCTGGCGATATCTGCGTTGAGCTGGTCAACGAGTGTATTAATGGAGACCTTGGTAGCAGTGTGGGAGCTAACAGCAGCTCGAGCATCTGAGGCCAGGAGTGCTGCCTTAGTAGCGCTCTGTTCCCATTCAACCAGCTCATCCTCCTGTATCACACAGCCTAATAATATTCTGGGAATACACCCTGTCATCATGTTAAAATAAATCAATGTACGTATATGATATTACAACAACAATGTATACATGATTAAAACTATTTTGAGTATATTAAAATATTATGCATGATTAAAACAAATGTTTAGTAATAATACATTAATCTGTATGCTTTAAACACCATAGTATGTATAATTTAAAAAACTGAGCATGATTTTGAAACAGCAAACTTTATATGATATTTACAACAACGCAGTGTTTGTGTAAGATAAACTATTCAAATACTACAATGTTACACTCATAAGTTATTATTTATCCAGGTAATCTGTGAAACCATTAATAACCAAATATTTGCTTTGCCTTTTCCACGTTTCGTAAAGTCTAAGTAGTTTATAAGTGCACCTTTTTCTTCGGAACACACGGTAGCCACACTTACTAGCTTGCGGCACTTGGCTCTGGTGTCTACAACGCGCTTCCGCAGGTTGTGTGCGGCTCTGGATGCTGTGGTGTGCTCGCTGACTTTATCCAGGGCCAGGTCTTCCAATCTTCGGTACCGTTCCGTGGCCGTCTGCACCCGTCCATAGAGTCGCGATAGTACTCGCACCTCCTCCGCCATCTCCTGCAAGCAAAATTTAAGGAATAAATTACTATTATCCCCAAGGCACTGTAAATGAGACATCTTACCAGCCCTCTCTACTTTGTTTCCGAATTAAGATTGCCTCCCCTTTCGACGGAAGATATTTCGTTATCCTCTGGAGCTCTTTTACACTGGTATTTTATCAAGAATGGGACATGCATAATAAAGATATTAAACTAAACTGTGTGTGTGTGTGTGTGTGTACTCACCTATTTGTGGTTGCGTGTGTGTGTGTGTGTGTGTGTGTGTGTGTGTGTGTGTGTGTGTGTGTGTGTGTTGTGTGTGTGTGTGTGTGTGTGTGTGTGTGTGTGTGCGTGAGTGTGAGTGTGAGTGAGTGTGTGTGTGTGTGTGTGTGTGTACTCACCTATTTGTACTCACCTATTTGTGGTTGCAGGGGTCGAGTCCTAGCTCCTGGCCCCGCCTCTTCACCGGTTGCTACTAGACCCTCTCTCTCCCCGCTCCATGAGCTTTATCAAACCTCGTCTTAAAACTGTGTATGGTTCCTGCCTCCACTACGTCATTTTCTAGGCTATTCCACTGCCTTACAACTCTATGACTGAAGAAATACTTCCTACTATCTCTCTGACTCATTTGTGTCTTCAACTTCCAATTGTGGCCTCTTGTTTCTGTGTCCCCTTCCTGGAACATCCTGTCTTTGTCCACCTTGTCTATTCCACGCAGTATTTTATATGTCGTTATCATGTCTCCCCTGACCCTCCTGTCCTCCAGTGTCGTCAGGCCGATTTCCCTTAATCTTTCTCATAGGACATTCCCCTTAGCTCTGGAACTAACCTTGTCGCAAACCTTTGTACTTTCTCTAGTTTCTTGACGTGCTTTATCAAGTGCGGGTTCCAAACAGGTGCTGCATACTCCAGTATGGGCCTGACATACACGGTGTACAGTGTCTTGAACGATTCCTTACTAAGGTATCGGAATGCCGTTCTCAGGTTTGCCAGGCGCCCATATGCTGCAGCAGTTATCTGATTGATGTGTGCTTCCGGAGACATGCTCGGTGTTATACTCACCCAAGATCTTTCTCCTTGAGTGAGGTTTGCAATCTTTGGCCACCTAGCCTATACTCTGTCTGTGGTCTTCTGTGCCCTTCCCCTATCTTCATGACTTTGCATTTGGCAGGATTAAATTCGAGAAGCCATTTGCTGGACCAGGTGTCCAGTCTGTCCAGGTCTCTTTGAAGTCCTGCCTGGTCCTCATCAGATTTAATTCTCCTCATTAACTTCACATCATCTGCAAACAGGGACACTTCTGAGTCTAACCCTTCCATCATGTCGTTCACATATACCAAAAATAGCACTGGTCCTAGGACCGACCCCTGTGGGACCCTGCTTGTCACAGGTGCCCACTGTGATACATCATTACGTACCATGACTCGTTGTTGCCTCCCTGTCAGGTATTCTCTGATCCATTGCAGTGCCCTTCCTGTTATATGCGCCTGATGCTCTAGCTTCTGCACTAATCTCTTGTGAGGAACTGTGTCAAAGGCCTTCTTGCAGTCCAAGATGATGCAATCAACCCACCCCTCTCTCTCGTGTCTTACTTCTGTTATTTTTATCATAAAAATCCAGAAGGTTTGTGACACAGGATTTGCCTTCCGTGAACCCGTGCTGGTTGGCATTTATACTCTTGTTCCGTTCCAGGTGCTCCACCACTCTCCTGATAATCTTCTCCATAATTTTGCATACTATACACGTCAATGACACAGGTCTATAGTTTAGTGCCTCTTTTCTGTCTCCTTTTTTAAAAATGGGAACTACATTTGCCGTCTTCCATACCTCAGGTAGTTGCCCAGTTTCCAGGGACGTGTTGAAGATTGTGGTAAGTGGCACGCACAACATATCTGCTCCCTCTCTAAGTACCCACGGGGAGATGTTGTCCGGTCCCATTGCCTTTGAGGTATCGATGTCCCTTAGCAGTTTCTTCACCTCCTCCTCGTCTGTATGTATGTCGTCCAACACTTGTTGGTGTATTCCTTGCTGGTGTCCCCATCTGGTCTGTCCCCCCAGAGTCCTTCCTGTCTCTACTGTAAATACTTCCTTAAATCTCGTGTTGAGCTCCTCACATACCTCTTGATCGTTTCTTGTGAGTTCTCCACCTTCTTTCCTCAGCCTTATCACCTGGTCCTTGACTGTTGTCTTCCTCCTAATGTGGCTATACAGCAGTTTCGGGTCAGATTTGACTTTCGATGCTATGTCGTTTTCATACTGTCGCTGGGCCTCCCTCCTTATCTGTGCATACTCGTTTCTGGCTCTTCTACTAATCTCCTTGTTTTCCTGGGTCCTATGCCTCCTGTACCTTTTCCATTCTCTGTTGCACTTAGTTTTTGCCTCCCTACACCTTCGGGTAAACCAAGGACTCGTTTTGGTCTTCCTATTATTTCTGTTTCCCTTGGGAACAAAACTTTCCTCTGCCTCCTTGCACTTTGTTGCCCACATATTCCATCATCTCGTTTACTGATTTTCCTACCATTTCTCTGTCCCACTGAACTCCTGCAGGAAGTTTCTCATACCTGTGTAGTCCCCCTTTTATAGTTTGGCCTGTCCCCTTCAGTTCCTGTTACCTTCTCCACTTGTAACTCTACTATATAGTCAAAACTCAGAACCACGTGATCGCTAGCTCCAAGGGGCCTCTCGTAAGTGATGTCCTCAATGTCTGAACTGCTCAAGGTGAACACAAGATCCAGTCTTGCTGGCTCATCCTCCCCTCTCTCTCTGGTTGTGTCCCTGACATGTTGATGCATGAGGTTTTCAAGTACCACATCCATCATCTTGGCTCTCCATGTTTCGGGACCCCCATGTGGCTCCAGGTTTTCCCAGTCGATCTCCCTGTGGTTGAAATCGCCCATTACCAGTAACTTTGCTCTGCTCGAGTGAGCTCTTCTTGCCACCTCAGCCAGTGTGTCCACCATCACCCTGTTGTTTTCTTTGTACTCCTCTCTTGGCCTCCTGCAGTTCTGTGGTGGGTTATACATCACTCCAATGACTACTTTATGTTCTCCGGACTGAATTGTACCTACAATGTAGTCTCTTTCTCCAATCATGTCCATGCCTTCCATTTCCTCAAATCCCCATCGGTGTTTTATGAGCAGTGCAACCCCTCCTCCCCCTCTACTCCTTCTATCTTTCCTCAGGATCTGATATCCTGTTGGGAAGATTGTGTCTGTTATTGTCTCAGCGAGTTTTGTTTCTGTGACTGCTATGATGTCTGGGGATTTTTCACTGATTCTTTCGTTCCACTCCTCATGTTTATTCGTTATTCCATCCGCGTTTGTGTACCAAACCTTCAGTTTCTTTTCTGTGTGTGTGTGTGTGTGTGTGTGTGTGTGTGTGTGTGTGTGTGTGTGTGTGTGTGTGTGTGTGTGTGTGTGTGTGTGTGTGTGTGTGTGTGTGTGTGGTGTGTGTGTGAGTGTGTGTCAGTGTCAGTGAGTGTGTGTGTGTGTGTGTGTGTGTGTGTGTGTGTGTGTGTGTGGTGTCTCAACAATCAATATTTGCACCAATAACTCATTACAGTTGTGACCGGGTGTGGAAGTGTGAATTGCTCATTACCCTATAATTTGTTCATGATTGTAGCCATGTATAAACGTAAGTAATCATTCTTACAGAATTCATTACCTTTGTAACTTGTGAGCTCATTACCTTTGTACCTAGTTCAGCTATCAAAAACTTTGGGGGCCCAGTCCCTGGACCATTACGTACCTCTGTAATCTGTAAATACCTTTGTAACTTGTCATGATTGTGACCAGACCTACCTGGAGTTCATTACCTTTGTAAATTGTGAGTTCATTACCTTTGTAAATTGTGAGTTCATTACCTCTGTAACTTGCTCAGCTATCAAAACTTTGGAGTCCAGTCCCTGGACCAATTATGTACCTCTGTAATCTGTTGACTACCGCCCACAGGATGGGTATGGGGTGCATAATAAACATATTAAACTAACTGAAGGACTGGAGTTTCTTACATATTTGCATGGCAGTTTGTTCCTTGCCTTGGTAAGTGGTTGTCTCTTCATCGCACCTACCTGACACTAAGTTTTACACAGTTCTTAATATATCATTACAGAGTATTTTTGGTTCCTACCTTCTGCTTTCCTTTCAAGCGGGCCTCCAGCTGCTCAACTACAGCAGAGAGCTCTTCCTGACGCTCCACCAGCTGCTGAGTCTCTTCCCGAGCTGACGCAAGACGTTCCCTTTGTTTGCTCACGTCGAGTTCCAAGGACAGCAACCTAATATATATATATATATATATATATATATATATATATATATATATATATATATATATATATATATATATATATATATATTATATATATATATATATATATATATATATATATATATATATATATCAGGGAAACCGGTTATTTTCATATAGTCGTACTTGAGTCCTGGAAATGGGAAGTACAATGCCTGCACTTTAAAGGAGTGGTTTGGGATATTGGCAGTTTGGAGGGATATGTTGTGTATCTTTATACGTATATGCTTCTAAGCTGTTGTATTCTGAGCACCTCTGCAAAAGCAGTGATAATGTGTGAGTGTGGTGAAAGTGTTGAATGATGATGAAAGTATTTTCTTTTTGGGGATTTTCTTTCTTTTTTGGGTCACCCTGCCTCGGTGGGAGACGACCGACTTGTTGAAAATATATATATATATATATTATATATATATTATATATATATATATATATATATATATATATATATATATATATATATATATATATATATATATATATATATATATGGTTTAGAAAGACACGTAAGCAAACACTATAACATATTTATTAGAAAACGTTTCGGTCCTGGAACCTTGATCACTTCTAACATACAGAGGTAGAAAGACATTATATATATAGGCGGAGAGTGAGATGTGACGCACGTGACCTGAGGAAAGTCATAAGAACATAAGAATGGAGGAACACTGTAGAAGGCCTACTGGCCCATGCGAGGCGAGGGTAGACGATGAAATCACGTGACTCCTGTGTTGTTGGGTTGGTGCTGCTTAAGTATCATGTATGCACAAATAACCCGCACATAAAAGACAGAAGCTTACGACGACGTTTCGGTCCGACTTGGACCATTGACAAAGTCACACTGTGACTTTGTCAATGGTCCAAGTCGGACCGAAACGTCGTCGTAAGCTTCTGTCTTTTATGTGCGGGTTATTTGTGTATCGTTCCAGTCACGGTATTGTGCCTTTTTGTTATTTATCATGTATGCCAATGTTTTTGAAATTTTGTAGTTTCCAGTGTTGCGTTCTATAGTGTCGGTGACGGTGATTAGTGAGGCTTCAGACGCCGACGGTGCCTAGAAGCCTCACTAATCACCGTCACCGACACTATAGAACGCAACACTGGAAACTACAAAAAAAAATACACATTTTTTTTTTCAACAAGTCGGCCGTCTCCCACCGAGGCATATACGTCGTATATGCTTATCGTACTATATCATGTTGAACACTCGTCTTGTATTATTGTGTATATTACTGATCTTGTATTAGCATGACTAATGCTGAAACACAGATTACTGACATGTAAATGCTAGAGGATTTGCTGTTTCATTAAAATATATTGCTCTCTCTCTTCCACAGCCGGGACAAGACTGACCTGACAGAGTATTGCTCGTGTTGTAGCTGTTCCTCCTTCACTGCCTTCAGGGTGTTATATACCTGTTAAAATACAACTGCATAATAACATAAGTAATTGTCAGAGTGGTATGATGATTTTTTTTTATTTTTATTAAAAACGAAACTACATACTAAATTTGAATATAAACTGTAAATCATACAAAAGTGAACTCCACACTATAACCATTATACATATGTCCTCCTGCGGACGGTTATACCTTCAATGTCGAAAAACCCTAAAGGTATTCCTTCCATCTTACAACATACAGTATGACCTAAGTATATTACATCATTTCATGTATCAACTAAAGTTTTCTACCTTCAGTTAAAATTAAAATTCAAACTCATCCAATTGATGACAGTTGCCATTCTTATCAATGACCTAGATCCTCTCATGCATATGTCATTGCGTATCTCTCTTAATATACAAACAATACAAAATATTCCCTAAATAGTTGCTTCATCCTGTATATATATTCCTACTATACCATGGAAAAAGCCCTCTGATAAGATGACCACTTCCCATATTATATATCCTCTGACATTTTTAACAATATATATGAAATGGACAACCATGGTTAACCATATGAACTTAAAAAAACTTCAGTTATAATTATCCCCCATAAACCTTTCTCTTCCTGACAACACACAATCTCCCCCTTTTAATCCCCCCCCCATGTTAGGTTCTATATTCACGGTGTATGTTACATATGTTACATATTGTGAGTACCTTGTATCTCACAATAACATTATATGCACATGCTAAAAAGGTCGCCTTACACAGAAGGCAGCCTTTTAAAAATTGGTAACATACATACCTATACTCTTACATATATATACATTTGCGTATATACTCGATCACACATACCCACACCGACTCATACACACATATTAACACAACAATAGGTAAGACTTTTACAACCTTATATTTTAATCCTTTATTAGGAAAAAGGAAGGCAATTGAATAATTTTGAGAAAAACATGATTACTCTGTATACTTTATACCAAAATGTTAACAATGCTTTGATTGTTCCCTCTTCTAGTTGTCTCACTTACAAAGATCATTTACCTTATTAAAACTATGATCATCAATGACCTCTTGTCTTTCAACACATGGTTAAACTAAAACATTCACACACAAGAAAACTCTCCAATTACACCACATCTAACATGTCATCCCTCCCATACAACTCTCATGACAATCCTACCACATTTACATATCCTTCATTATGGTCATAATTCGCTCTAGAAAAGGAAAATGGTCCATTAGTACTTAAGTAGCCAAATTACTGAGTCCCCTTACCGTTATATTTCTATATGCCTCCGGGAACGCAGTTGTCCACCTGTTACCATAAATGAGTTTATTTCTGCTTACTGTGCGATAAATTCCTGCCGCAATTGCCCTTACCCTAATCCCCCCGCCTTTTTCCTTCAAGCCCCAGGAATAAAACAAGAAATCTGTCACAATGTACAGAATGGCTCTCTTTACAACCTCAGACACCCCCCTTACCTCTAAAGTTAGGGCACGCAGGAGCTCTACATTGCCCCCACCCATTAACTTGAAGACTCTAGCCAGCCACACCCTTACCTGCCCAACTCCTACAAAAAATTACGGCATGAAAAGCTGTTTCCGATTCCTCACAATGTTCGCATTTCGCCTCCTTTACCAAACCTATCACACACAAAGCCTGCCTTGACGCTAAAATCCCCATTACAAACCTATAAACTAACTCCCTTACCCTCGGCATTAACCTGAGTTTCTGGAAATCATGCCAAATCGTACCCCAATCATACAAAGGGTATACCGCCACCCCTTGCATGACTTCTGGTTTCCTACTCATCTCTACCAACCTTCCCACCTTGAGCTTTTTTACCTCACCTATTACTAACATAACCCTTAGCATATTCTCACATTCCATTAAGTTCTTTCCTCCCCACCATCGTCGTACATCCCCCATCACCTCCCGACCTCACCCCTTTTACCCCCCCCCCTCCCTTACGTACTTTGTTTAACATACATGGCCTTTACCCTCGGCCCTAGCATCAAAAGCCCTACTCCCCCTCTGCGCACATTCGTCATAACCACCTCTTTACTTAGCCATGCTCGTCCAAAACCCCATATATAACGAAGCACGTATCTCCTTTATCTCCTGTTCCCGTAAAGGATACACCACTGCCACGTTCCACACTTTACTATAAACCAATGAATTTATTATTGCCCTTTGCATTAGAGTAACATCCTTCGCTCTTAGGTCCCTAATCCGTTGTACAACTTTCTCTCCCACCAATTCCGAATTACTCTGTCTAGCCTCTTGCTCATCTGCCATATAGATAATCCCACAAATTTTCAGCTGTTCAGTCACATCCCATCCAAACTCCACCCCCATTCTACCCCCCACCCAATCTCCTATCTCTAATAATTTCGATTTAGCTCTGTTGACATGCATGCCAGACGCCTCTCAAAAAAACCTCATTACTCTCTCCACCTTTTGCAAACCTTCGACATCATTGATCAGTATTGTTGTGTCATCTACATAACCAACTACCTCTGTGAACCCCGACCCCTCCTCCTGTAATGTTGTTGCTTCCTCAACCATTCCATAAAACGGGTGTTGCATACATGCAAACAGAATTTGAGACATAGGACACCCTGTCTCAACCTTTCTCCATTTTCACACGCTACCAACCTACCATTAATTTGCACCTGAATCGTAGCTTCTGCATACAAGGTCTTCACCCATTTTACTATTCCCTCCCCAAAACCCATAAGCCTTAAAGTGTCAACCATGTACTCTCTATTCACACCGTCATAAGCATTCTCCCAGTCAATGCCCAAATTCCACCACCCTTACAACCCTGCAAAATTCCCTAATACGACTATGTCCATCCATCATACTACGACCCGAATTCCCAACTGACCCTTGTGCACAATACCACTATTACCTTCTTCATCCTGTTCCCTAGAATCTTCGCAAAAAATCTTATATCCGTACACGTTAAAGATATGGCCCTGTACGTGCTCAGTGTTCTCCCCTCCCTCTTTTTCTTTACAAGCACGACCACACCCGTCCTCTGTGACGTTCCCAATTTCCCTTTCTTCAGCATACAATTCAATACCTGAACCAAACAAACATTCATGGTTTCTCAATGCACTCTGTAAAAATCATTGGAAAGCCCCTCAATTCCCGGTGCTTTCCCCTTACTTAAATTGAACACGCTCTTTCACTTCTTCCATACTTATTATTCCCTCCAATCCCCCTCTGTCCTCCCCACCTTTCCCCAAGGCCTTCACCCCTCCTCTTTCTTTATTAGCTATCCCCACGTTACCCTTTTCCCATTTCCTTTTAAACCAATAGTCCGCATAATTACTTATCCCCTCAGTTGTCACCAACATTTGCCCCTCAGTATAACATTCCAAATCGTCACTAACCTCTAAAAGTATTATAGTGGACTCCTGTTGTCTAATGCGAAAACTTCTTAACACACTACCCGACGGTTTATCTCCCCATAGCACGGCATCCATACCTGCCCTTACCCTTAATTCATCAAATCTTTCATTATGTATGTCCCTTAGTCTCTCTCTTAGCCCTGATATTTCTTCAAAAGACTTCTCCTCATCTCTCACATAACACTCATTGAGCTGCTGTTCCAAATAATTCTGTAAACCGTACCTCCACCTCGCCTCCTCCCTTCCTTTATATTTATATAAACCCCCCGTAACAGGTTTAGCCTATTTTCCCACCAATCCAAATACTCCCTACCCCATCCTTGCCCTCCACAATTGTCTCCACCAGTCTCTAAACTCTGCGTTCACCACCTCACTCCTCACCAACCTCGCATTTAACTTCCAGAAACTTGAATATACCTTTACCACACCCTCCCAATCCAGCTCTACCAAAACTGCCCTATGATCCGAAAACCCTACGTCCACTGTTTTTACCCCTCCTACCCTAACTGCTCCCGTTATATAAATCCTATCTAACCTCGCTGAATAATTTCTCCTAACAAAAGTGTAATCCACTCTCCAAGCCTCACTCCCCTCCACGTCCCTCACCCCAGCATCCTGTAAAACATTACGTAATGACCGTAACACACAACCCGCCCCCCTTGGCTCCACGTCCCCCCCCTTATAACACAGTTCCATTCCCCCCCCTTATAACACAGTTCCATTCCCCCCAATTACAGTGACTAGAGGTAAACCCCTTAAAAAATACACCAAAACGTCTCTCACAAAATCCTCTTTTACTTTGATTATATTCTCCGCTGGCATATAAACCCCAATGAAACATACTCGAGATGCTCCCCACTCACCATCCACCCTCACTACCCTCCCCCCCCTTCTTCCCACTTTATAATACGTAAGGGACTATTTTCCTTCACAGCCACTGCCACTCCCCCTTTTAACCTAACAGACCCACTTACATACAATTTATAACCCTTTAATGCCAATGCACAGCCTATCTTATAATTATGTTCTTGTATAAAGCATACATCCACATTATATCTCCTCAAAAACCATACATTTCGCGACCTAGCTGCCAGGGAGTGTGGACGTGCCTCATACCTCTCTGCTGATAGTCTAGCAAGCTATCCAGTGACGTCATGGTATTCAGCGTGAGGAGGCGGGTGAATACCGTTGGTATACAGCTTGTTCAGGGGGCGATTACGCCTGAGAATGAACAAGTTTTGCTACCTAAGATTATCCGTGACACTTATGGTATTGCGGACAAGGATTTGTATGGTGTGGCATTAAATGGCGCCTACCGGATATTTGTGAAACTACTCTACGAGCCAGTGTACGAGAAGCTGGTTGAGCAATTCCAAGATCTCTGCGTAGATGTGTCCCCTGAAGTGCATGTGCGTATGGTGGATGTCTCTCGGCAATATACGTGGGTGAAACTGCGCAATGTGCTCTTCGAGGCCGATGCAACGGATCTCCGCAGTGTTTTCAGCAGATACGGAGTGGTACACATGGCTAAACAAGGCAATAGGGTGTCTGGGGCGTATGCTGGTCTCCCAGACGGTTCGTTTACCCTTAAGAT